TGGCTGCGACTCCACGAGGCCTCACGAGACCCTAAGTAAGAACTTCCCAACCAGGCTGCCCTGGAACCCCTGACCCCCAGAAACTGTGAGGGGCTAATCGCTCATTTTTGCTTTTAAGTCATTAAACTTGGGAGTATTTCATTACAATGCAGTAGCCACTGGGGTGCAGTGGCTGGTAACACCGCAGCACGCCAGGCTTCCCCGTCCTTCACTGGCTCCCAGAGTTTGCTCAAGTTCACGTCCACTGAGTCGGTGATGCTACCTAGCTGTCTCATCCTCTTGCCGAGTAACTGAGAGGTAAAGCCTTGCTCCACGCTGCTTCCTGACCACATGTGAAGAGCTGCCCTGGGTACCCAGACTCAGCCTGCGGGACTGCCCCAGACTTCAGCTTATATCGCAAGAGGAAAAGCGCATACATCCCCTTGCAGAGGCCCATGGTGAGCCCTGACCACTTGGCTCCAGGCAACTATCCTTCCAAGTTCCAGCCAGGTTCCAGGGCCAAAAATAAACAGCGCTTTCTCCTTCTTCAAAGCACTAAGGCTGAGCCGCCGTAATAACTGGGAACCAAGAGCAGAGATCTCACGCCGGCGGCCCGTGGACCGGATGTGGCCTGTAGGCATGTTTTGTTTGGCTCTCACAGTGTTTTAAAAGTTGGAAAACTTTACATTGAAAAAAAAAAAATCAGATTTCCAGCATCTCACGAGAGGTTGGAAGCTACGACAACACCAGGCCCACGTACCAAGCCGGCAACCATCCACTTGCTGAGCGCAGTGTGGCTCACCCCACTTAAGAAGGGGGGGTGTTGGAGGTTCTGATTCATTCACGGGGCTCAAGATTCACTCGGGCACCTACTCTGTGCCAGGCCCTGCTCTGCTGGCTGGGAATCCTCATGGCACAGACATGTCACCTCTGCAGTGCTGGCCTTCTCCTGGGCAGAGAGACCAGGCACCTAAGTCACTCCAGACTGGGGAGACCATCAGACGAGGACAGCTCAAGGCGGAGACCGGGACGAGGTGCCACACTGGCAGGGTGCCTGGGAAGATCTCTGAGATGACATCCAAGTGGATTCCCAAGCAATGAAACGAAGCTGGCCACGCGAAGATGTGGGCTAAGAACATCCCAGCCCAAAGGCAGAGAGTGTGCAAAGGCCCGACAGTGTGAATGAGTGAGCAGGGCTCCAGAGGCAGAGAAGGAAGGAGAGAGGGAGGCGGGACCACGACTGGGGATGGGATTCATTCTACTTACAGAAGACAGAGTGGGGCGCTTCAAGTGGGATGGGGGCTGTGATCTGAGTTGCCTTAGATAAACCCCCTCCGACTGCTAAGCAAAGAAGCGGCTAAGGGAGGGAACGGAATCAAGGAGACGGAAGGAGGCCCAGATAGTCTAGATGAGAGAAGTCCAGAGCGGGCTGGGAGCAAACGGGCTGGGTTTGGGATCCTGAGTGCAGGGAGTGCCCACAAGACTTTCAGACGCAGCAGAAGGGGGCTGGGGGTCAAAAGAGGGAGTCCAGCTTTCTAAAGTGGGGGACATTAAAGTGTGCTTACACCAGATGGGAAACTGACGATTCTGTAGGACAAACATGCCAAGTGTGGTTTAAAGCCTTCATGGACAGTTTACCTGCACCGAGGAGTAGAGAATTTCTTAGCGTTCAGTAAGATTAAGAAAACTCATTGGCACTGGCAGCCAAGGTTTCCTGGCGCCGCATACGTTATGTACAGTTCTGCCCTGCAGTGCTGACCCGAAAGGTGAGAACCGAGTTGAGACCTCCACAGAGAGCTGGGGGACAAGATGAATGGGCACCTCCAGCCTGGACGGGAGAAGGTTTTGGGGGAGAACGGATACATGTGTATGTATGACTGAGTCCCTCTGCTCTTCCCCTGAGACTACCACAACACTGTTGATTGGCTATACCCTAATACAAAAAGATTTTACTGCTAAAAAAACAATCAATGGGCATTTGAGATGGTGAGTGGGTGGGGACCCAAGATGGTGAGATGAATGGGCACTTTCAAGGACCCTTTCATTTTTGCCTAGACCCATTTACACTGCAGAGCCTGGGGCCTGTGGGTCTCTGACACTGGGTGTTGGGTCATGAATGCAGTTGTGGGGCAGGGAGGGAGGTGGGGGAAGAGGGCAGGGGTTTCGCCGTGTGACTCAGCCAGGGCTTCAAGCTTTTAAAACTGGCCAGCCAAGCAAAGGGCTCAATGTCCCATTCACAGACTTTTCCCGAGTCAACAAGGCTTATTCATGACTGACTCGAGGATTCCTTGAACTCTCCATGGGAACCTGTCTTTTAGCCACGGTGTCTGCTAATGTTTTCTTTGGCTGATGACTTATCACTTTAACCCTAACTCCTGAATCCAACTTCCCAGGAACGTAAGGCAGCATCTTCCAGAACATCAGTCATTCAGCCTACATGTGGATCTACCAACTTCTGCTCAGAAGAACCCCTGATTAATATTAAGTGACCCCACAGCGAGGTTAAGCAGTGTAATACCTTTCTGTAGATAGAGGTCAGGTCATCCGGGTGCCTTGTTCAGCTAAGCAAACCAGAGGACATAGGGAGCCCCTGGGGGACATGCCGGGGGTCAGAGATCAGACTGGCCCTTTAGAAGGCAGCCTCTGGCCACCCTGGGGGGAAAGCCATGTCTAGGGACAGGGGGCCTCCTGAGATGACCAGGCAACGGTCCCTTGATCTAACGCAGCAGCAGGAACAAAGGGAGACACATGAACGCGTGCAGATGTTATATGAGAGGGAAACTGGAGTTTCCAAACTCACAGGTCACCTTCCGGGGCCCCGGGCATGGACAGACAGGGGGAGCCACCCCGTGAGTGTCTCTCTACCCATGTGGCAGCCAAGCCTGTTAAGATGTGGGGCTAATTAAGAGAGGCTGGATGCCCACTTCAGGCTGCTTCTGCTGTCTGCTGGGCTGCCCTCCAGATACCCTCCACCCTCCCGACCAAGGGCCTTCCTTCCCTGAATGCTGGGCGAGGGGCCTCGGAGACATGGGACACGTGTTCCTTGTGAACTGGTGTTTGGTTCTCTCTCTAGTCTTGCCTGAGAGTCTGCCTGTGTGGCTAGGTCACTTTCTTTTTAAAATTAATGTTTCATTCCACATGTGCTCCAGGGATCCGCTGCAACAATTTAACACAATAAGAAGCTCATTTGAAATTTGATGAGTGAAGTGCACCTTTTTTGCTGTTTCACAATCGAGTCTGTTCTCCCTGGTGACACAGCAGATCTAGGCGAGGTTGTTTTACCACCGCAGACTGGGGACTGGGATCGTTAACTTCGTGTGTCATTTCGGCCAGACTACGGTGCCCAGGGGTTTGGTCATACACCAGTCTAGATGTTGTTTTGAAGGCATTTTAAAGATATGGCTAACATTAGACATAGAGAATGAACTTACGATTATCGCAGGAGTAAACAGGTGGGATAGATTGGGAATTTGGAGTTAACAGATACATTACATCTAAAATAGATAAACAATAAGGACCTACTGTATAGCACAGGGAATTAAATTCAATATCTTGTAATAGCCTACACTGGGAAAGAATCTGTAAAAGGTGGCAAAAGGTAAAGAATCCACCTGCCAATGCAGGAGATGCGAGAGACGCAGATTTGATCCTTGGGTGGGGAGATCCCCTGGAGGAGGACTGGCAACCCACTCTGGTATTCTTGCCTGGAGAATCCCATGGGCAGAGGAGCCCTGTGGGCTGTGGCCCGTGGGGTCTGAGAGTCAGACACGACCGAGTGAGCACACATGTCTATAAAACTGAATCACTTTGCTGTACACACCTGAATCATTGTAAATCACCTGCATTTAAATTTTTAAAAGATACGACTAACATTAAAACAGCAAACTTTGAGTAAAGCAGGTCACCCTCCATAACTTGAGTGGACCTCAACTGATCCATGGAAGGCTTCAAGTGCAAAGACAGGTCATCTGAAAAAGCTTTTCTCCAGGCTGAAATACAAAAGTCTACCAGTATTTCCAGTCTGCTGTCCTGTGGAATTCAGACTCAAGACTGAACATCAACTCTTACCTGCATTTTCAGACCACTAACCTGCCCTACAGATTCAAACTTGCCAGGCCCCACAACTGCGTGAGTCAATTCTTTAAAAGCAGTCTATCTGTCTATCACCTACTGATTCTGTTTCTCTGGAGAGCCCTAATAGTAGCAGAAGGTGACTTTGAAGGGTGGAATGCTTCCCTGGTGGCTCAGATGGTAAAGAATCTTCCTGCAAGCAGGAGACCTGGGTTCGATCCCTGGGTCGGGAAGATCCACTGGAGGAGGGCATGGCAACCCACTCCAATAATCTTGCCTGGAGAATCCCAGGGACAGAGGATACTGGTGGGCTACAGTCCATGGGATTGCAAAGAGTTGGACACAATTGAGCGACTAACCCCTTCACCTTCACTTGAAGGATGGGCCTTTCAGACATGTCTTAGCTCCACACTGCAGATTTCTCAGAATGACTCGTTGAGATCTTCTTCAGCCTGCAGGCTCAGAACCTTCCCCTGGCTCTTCTCTCCACTTGGACACCTTCCCCAAGGTCTGCAGGCTCTCCTCCTCACATCTCTGCTCAGCACGCCATCACCCGTTTACCCTGTGCCTCCCTGCAGCACCCCACCTGCCAGCCTGCCCTCTCTTTTCCTCACTGGCTTGTGCCCTCAATGCTTATCAGCACCTGAAATGTGAGGTATGAGCTCGTGCATTATCTGCTTTCACATCGCGTCCTTGTCCACCATGGGAAGGTCAGCTCCAGGTAGGCTGTCGGTCACTAACGACTCTCCCAAGCCTGGGATGGGCCTCGCATACAGCAGGCACTCAATAATGACAATGCCAGACGGATTGTGCAATGGGTTGGGGGCAGAAGGAGGCAGACCCTGGTGAGGGGTTCCCCTCGCCCTTGACTTTCCCTCTGGCCAGGGCACCAGCCAGTGGAGACCGGAGCCCCAGCCTCCTCCTTGGTAGCACCCACATAAGACACCTACCAAAGGGGGGGAGCCACCCAGCTCCCGAGGAGCAGACGTTCCTCTCCTGGGTCCTCCTGCCGTAGGTCGCAGAATAGATGTTGAGGAACTTGGACTCATGGCAGTGCAGTTTCAGCTCGTGGTCTTCACACACGGTTTTGTTCTTTAATTCATCTGAAGCAGAAACCAAAATCAGCGGCACCATCAGCTCCCCCAGAAGGACTCTGTGAGCATCGCCCGCATCCCAGGCAGCTCCCATCCCCCGCCGGGCTGCACCCCTGGAAGGGGACAGACGGCATGGCCCTGCCTGCCAGGGGCTCTCTGACCCTGCGATCCTTCTGCGGGGGCAGCAATGAGTGGACCAGGGTAGAGACCCAGGGACGACACCGAGGCCCAAACGGAAGAGGAGGGACGTCGGGGTGGAGAGGGCAGGGCACGCTGGGCCAGCCCTAGGACAAGCCTGGCCATGGAGGGACTTCACTCTCCCTCCGCACCTGGACACACAGGTTCCTTGGTTCCAGGGAGCCTTTTCTCAAAGGTCATCTCGGGACGCACACAGCTGCATGCTTAGTCCCCCAGTCATGCCCGACTCTGTGGCCCTTGGACTGTAGCCCACCAGGCTCCTCTGTCCTGGGATTTGCCAGGCAAGAACACTGGAGGGGGTTCCCGTTTCCTCCTCCAGGGATCTTCCTGGCCCGGGAATTGAGCCCTCATCTCTTGAGGCTCCTATATTGGCCGGAGGGTTCTTTACCATTAGTGTCATCTGGGAAGCCCCCACACAGGTAAAGACCAAGAATAATCTCAGAGGGAGTCCAGCGAAACCTTACCACCCAACTTCACAACATTCTCACGTCCCACTGGTGTATCTACCCAGAGACAGAGAAACTACGCACAAGCAAATTATTTCCTTTTCCAGGAAAGGAACAAAAAACAAGGCGACATGTCTGTGAACAATTCCTCCTGGAAACACAAGGTCCTATTACACAGCATAGGGAACTACATCTGACAGCGTGTGATAAACCCTAACGGAAAAGAAGATTAAAAAAAAGAATCCCTCTTTGGAGGTGTGAAGAGCTGGTTCCAAGTTTGGCAGTTCCGGAACAATGGGCCCTCGGGCTGGTGTAGGTCCCAGGAGAGGAAGATTCCAGCTCACGGTTAGTCCTCAAAGAATTTCAAAAGTTTATTTGTTTAATCTGAGTACCACAGTGAAATTCTCTTTGCAACATTATACAGCGGTGACATTATAAATGCACCCTGGAGAAAATAGAGTTTATTGTTTTTTTTAATGGACTGTACCAAAAAAAAAAATCAATTAATTTAAATGTTTACTAATGAATGGATTTTTTTAAGTAGTAGTATTTTTAAAGTAATAATAGTATTTAAAATAATATTAAATAATAATACTATTATTATTATAGTAGTATTAAAAATAATAACACCACAGACACAAAAGACTACCTAATATGTGATTCCATTTCTGTGAAATATCCAGTAAAGGCAAACCTCCAGAGACAGAATGAAGGTTGGTGGTTTTCTGAGGCTGAGGGTTGGGGACAGGAAGTGACAATGACAAGTGGACACGGAAGTATTTTGAGACGATGGAAATGTTCTGTAGCTGGTCTGATGTCGTGGTTGCACAACTCAGTACAGTTACTAAAAATAGTTGAGCTAGACACTTAAAACAAGTGAGTGCTATGCTGTGTAAGTTATACCTCAGCAAAGACATTTCTGCCTTATTTTTATTTATTTGGCTGCCCTGGGTCTTAGTTGCAGGATCTTCTGTCTTCGTTGGCATGTGGGATCTTTAGTTGCAACATGCAAACTCTTAGCTGTGGCATGTGGGATCTGGTTCCCTGACCAGGAATTGAACCCCAGGCCGCCTGCATTGAGAGTGTGGAGTCTCAGCCACTGGATCACTAGGGAAGTCCCAACGAAGATATTTTTAAAATAACAATTGCTAATATTTACTGAGCCCTTTCTCTGAACTTGGGCCTTGTTCTAGGATCTTGGTATGTCTCAGTGAATTTAATCATCAAAACAGCCCTTCTGTGAACCACCTCTTCTTATCCTTTGCATGTTATGTTTTGGATTTTTAGAAAATCGTTTGTAGGAAGGATTCATAGATGCTGGATGCTAACTTTTGAACTTTTGTCTCTTACATGTGATAAATATCTTTTCCTAGCCTCCCACTTATTTTGGAGTCTGCAAAATAAAAGCAAAGGAAAACCTAAAGGGGACCAAGGCTACTTCTTTGCATGTGTGGTTCTCTCCCCCACCATCCAAATGTTTTTATAAGAAAAACCATGAAAAGATGCTAGCCCCACTCTGTCACTCCAATCCTAGTTTTTTTCTACTTTGAAATGGCAACCAGGGGCACACCTTAACGCGAGACAGGCACTGGTGTCACTAGCAAACAAGAGTTAAATTCCAGGATGGGGAGGAAGAACAAGCAAAGCTAGTCCACACCTCCCATCACCCCCACACCCACCATTTTATTTCTCTCTCCCACTCATGTTTTTATTCCACTTTTCTTTCCCTGGATTGGAGGTGCAGGCTGATCCCTCAAATCAAAATTTTCCAGTTGTCGTCTGAGGCCCATCATGAAATCAATTTAATGAGTCATGATTAGAAATTAAAAAAAAAAAGAATAGTTCAGAAAACTTCAAAGTGCATCATATAAAGTAAAGATAAACACTATTTAATAAAGGATTCCTTTTAGTTGTGTATGGTTATGTTGGGCCAAGAGGCAAAATGTTTTTCTTACTCTGGGTTGCGATCAAACCATTCTGAAATTCCCTGAAGGAGAAGGCATGAGCAGTAAACATCAGGGCAAAGGTGGCCAGCGGGACCTTCATATCCTGGAATTACCGATGCTTAAGTCCCAATCTTAAAACATGAAAGAAAATAATTTCCTAATAGAAATTCCACCTTTCGGTAACTTGTAAATCCCCATGCCTAAAAACATAGAAGGAGCAGTGAGGCCAAGCTTTTGAAGTGCTTGAAGGAAAAATTTTAGTATCTCAAGAATACCATCAGCTCCGGTGCTAGAAAACTTGGGCAATGGTTCTCAGAACATGTTGATGGGAAGATTCATGAATGAGAGGTGTAGAGCTGAAAGCAAGTTACAGATGTTCCCAGAATCCTTATCCTGTCTAGGATTTGCACATACCTGCAAGGACCCATCAGAGGAGGAAAAAGTCAAATGACGACTAAGCAAATGTTTCGGAAGCCCTTTACCCAACACTAAAATCTTAATAAAGCAGTTTAAACTTAGAGCCAAGAAAAGTTCTGTTTTCTTTTTCTTAATAAAAAGAACATGGAGTCTGATCTTGACATTGGAAGGTTTGATTTCGGTGAGTCATATCCGCACTGCTATGAGTTCTTCAGAGATTTTGATGAGCAAACACTAAATCCCACCAACACCAAAATACTGCCTGACTTCAAAAGTCCAGTGTGAGAGACAGCCTTTGATGCAGAACAGAGGGCTTGGGTAGACACACCAAATGAGTCCAAGCACCCTTCTAACTAGAAGAATACCAAAAATGCTAAGAATGCCCTCCATTGGCAGAGCTCACCAAAAAAGGAGGAGGGAGAAGGCAGGACGAAAACCAAGCCTTATCTCAGTATTCCGGAAATTTTTGAACAGGAATGGTTTCTTTCTTCTTTATCAGAACTTTTTAAAATTAGAAGACCTTTTTTAAGGCATGTCATGAAATGCATTTGGTGGTGGTGGTGGTTTAGTTGCTAAGTCATGTCCGACTCCTGTGGTCCCATGGAGTGCAGTATTTAGTAGTCCCCATCTGCCTGGTTTTTAAGATCCATAGATTAAAGGTACCAACCTCGGTATAAGCCAAAATCTCACCCAGAGTAACGCAACACCCCTATGTAAGGCCTCCAGTGGTTTCTGTCCCCAGATTACGGGCACATCACTTCCTGGAATGGAGGGACCTGTGCGTGTCATGTTACATGCTTGGGGTTACCACTGTATGCTGCTGAGTCTCTTGGTTCCTTGGGAATGTATTAATTCACTGTCATCGAAGAGTGACATTTCTGGGTTCTAAAAACAAAGGTACTAGTAACATAATTGCTGCTTTTCTTGGAGAACTAGAACTTGTGTCAGAGGTGAGTCAGAGTGCTTGATGGTATCAGAAAAGAAAAGGTGTGGGCAGCCTTTGCAGAAATGTATTGCCAACATCCATGTGGGTTTGGGTGCTTTACCCAGGAGCCTGGGTGGAGTTACAACCACCCAGGTTTAAAGGTGGCACATTCTCCCTCCTAATTAGAGGTCGACGTGTGCGATTCATTCCTCTTTAACACGGATCTGCACATCCGCTGATCTGCACATCCGCTGATCTGCACATCAGAGTGGCCTTTCCGAGACAGGCAGTGGGAGTGATGAATCCGAGCAGGACCCTGTGGGACTCCTGGGCATGGAAGTCTTTCTGGCCCCTGTTCCTTGTTTGGAGGAAATAGACTCCAGCCTCCATGATATTCCCTGAACTGCAAAGGGCAGATCAGAACAGTTGCCAATCAGAGAAGAGAGGAAATGCGGAAACTAGAGAAGAGTAGCCAAGAAACAACAGTGCAGCCTTGGGGCAGGTCCTGGTTCCTTCTCCGGGGATACACACAGCAATATCTTTGAGCTCTTTACAGAACTAAAATCCGCAATGAATGGAAGGTGTTCAGCTCAGTCCAGTTGCTCAGTTGTCTCCGACTCTTTGCGACCACATGGACTGCAGCACGTCAGGCCTCCCTGTTCATCACCAACTCTTGGAGTTTACTCAAACTCATGTCCATGGAGTCAGTGATGCCATCCAACCATCTCATCCTCTGTCATCCCCTTCTCCTCCCACCTTCAATCTTTCCCAGCATCAGGGTCTTTTCCAGTGAGTCAGTTCTTCGCATCAGGTGGCCAAAGGACTGGAGTTTCAGCTTCAACATCAGTCCTTCCAATGAATATTCAGGACTGATTTCCTTTAGGACTGACTGGTTGGATCTCCTTGCAGTCCAAGGGACTCTCAAGACTCTTCTCCAACACCACAGTTCAAAAGCATCAATCCTTCGGAGCTTTTGGAAGGTGTTAGCATTCTTCATTCAGAGACCACCACCTGAGGCCCGATTAAAGGAGTGCAGGCCCTGCACACACCCTAACCTTATCAGCAAGCCCCCCTGAACCACTGCTATGAAACGCCTCACCAGACCCCCACGGGTTGGGACTTGCAGTTTTTTGAGGCAGCAGCGTGCTGTGTCCCCCTTTCCCTGGCAAAGCGGTAAAGCCATCCTTTTTCTACTTCACTCAAAACTCTGCCTCCGAGATTCGATTCAGCACCAGTGCACAGAAGCCAAGCTTTCAGCATCAGTGCTTTAACTTGATGGGAATATGTTATTATTGACATTATTTACAGCTGCCAATGCATGACAACATTAACGTCAAGACAACTATTTAGCCTCTTTCATTGTGTTTTTAGGGGCTTCTCCTGGAGAAGGAAATGGCAACCCACTCCAGTATTCTTGCCTGAAGAATCCCATGGGCAGAGGAGCCTGGCATGCTAGTCTATAGTGTCACAGAGTCAGACACAACTGAAGCGAATGACTACACACACGCACATTGTATTTTTGAGTCCTCAACAGACAATGCACTCCGCTATTACCTGGGGCAGAGCACACCCCCCCCCCACCCCAACCACTGTATGTCACTGCCTTGCAGTCATTCATATCTTTAGCAAGAATTTCTTAAGGACTTCCCTGGTGGTCCAGTGGTTAAGAATCTGCCTGCCAATGCAGGAGACATGAGTTTGATCCCTGGTCCAGGAAGATTCCACACCATGGGGCAACTAAATCCACGCACCAGAACTATGGTGCCCATGCTTCACAGCCTGAGAGCTGCAACCACTGATGCTCTGGATCCCATGCTCTGCCACAAGAGATGGCACTGCAGTGCGAAGCCCACTCACCTAGAGAGTGGTTCCTCTCACCGCAACCAGAGAAAGCCCCCACACAGCAATGAAGACCCAGTGCAGTCAAAAATAAAATAAACAAATAAATTTAAAAAATGTAAAAGACTTACTTTAATCTGCCACTTGGGGATAATAGCTACCAGTGCCTGAATTCAACTCCCTGACAGGTCTTAAGCATTTTACACACAGAACTATATTTTTATTATTTGCAGCAGCCCTACATAGAAAGTGTATTGTGTGTTATCTTTATTTTATAATTGAGTTACGGAGGCTCAGAACATTTCCCTCCACTGCCCAAGATCACACGGCAGCTCCACAGCAGACAAGAACATGAACCCTAAATTCAAAGACTTGCTGAAACCAAAAATTCTCCAAAGGGATGAGATTTAAGGATGAGGTAAAGCATGGCACACAATCAAGGAAAGAAGATTCTAGTGAGGACTGCTGATGAAATACTCTCCAAAAAAAACAAATACGTGACTGTGCCCTGATGTGTAGCCTCAGCCAAGTTCCCTGGTGTAAATACTTCCATCAAGGCAGGTGTCACTGCACACAGGTAAGGCTGGGCAGACAGGGGTAAATTGGCTCCCATGGTAAAAATGGCTCCATGCGCCCTGGGTTCAGCGGTGGGGCCTTTGGACAATCAGAGTGTTATGCAGGGACTGGAACTGGGGCCATGGGGAAGAACCTCTGGAGGTGAGAGTGTTGCAGAAAAAGAGGGAGGAGGGTGTGGGAACAACCTCACTTCCACCACTATTTCATAACAGCCCACAGGAACTACCAGAAAACTTCAGTGCCCCAGGTCACCAATGTCCATCCAGGTCACATAAGATGCTCTGGTCTGAATCTCTGTCCCCCTAAAATTCACTTGCTGAAATCCTAATGCCCATGTGATTAGGAGGCGGGATTAGACATCAGAAGGTGGGGCCTTTGGAAGGTGCTTAGATCATGAAGCACCTAAGCTTCATGGGTGCACCCCTCATGAATGGGGTTAGTGCCCTTACATATGGGACCCCAGAGAGATTCCTTGCCTTTCTGCCAAGTGTGGTTAGAGTAAAAAGGACAGCTGTCTATGAGAAGCAGGCTGTCAGAAGATACCAAGTCTGCACCTTGATCCTGGCCTTCCCAGCACCCAGAATTGAGAGGAAGAAATTTCTGTTGATTGTAAGCCACCTCATTGATGGCATTTTGTGATAGCAACTCAGACAGACTAAGACACAGGGCTCGCCCCTCTAGTCTGTTACACGTGAGGCAGCCAGAGGGGGCTTTACAACCCCATCGAGGGCCCTCCCTGCTTAAATGCTGCCCTACGGGAAGACTCCACCTCCTTCCCTGGCCCTCAGGGCCCTGAATCCTGCTCCAGCTCTCTGTCTGGTGCTCCTTTTTGCCCCCTCCAGGCCCCTGCACCTCCAGCCACAGGCTTCTCTAAGGAGTGAGCTTCCTGTGCCCTGACCTGACCCCGGGAGTTCCTCATCACTTGCTGGGAAAGTCTTCCCTGAACTGAGGTCAATCAATTCCTCCTTTGAGCTTCTTGCACAGTATCAAGGGCACAGGGGTCTTCTTTAGATATGTTTTTAAGAGAGGGTCTTTCTGGGGAAAGGAGATATTTGGCCTAGAATGTAAGACACAAGCAAGTATGTAAAGATCTCAATAAATGTTTTCTGGATCAAGGGACAATAGAAATCACCCAAGACAGAACAACCATCCAGGAATCCTCTGCCAGATGTGAGTTCTCTTCATAAGCAAGACCTGGCCCACACCTGTGCACAGCAGTTAGTTAGTAAGGGTCTGATGAAGTGAAATTAGCAGACAGACCTCACTGCCCACTGTAGAAACACGCTGTGACCCAGCACTAGCTTTTCCGGGGTCCTGCTGATTTCACAAGGGCCTTTTCACTTCTTTTAGACTTTGGTCCCGCCTAGCTTTTTATCATAAGCAATTTTCCAGCAGATAGAAAATGTCAGAGACTATCACAACAAATCGGCAGAAGGGGAAAAGAAGGCGAAGCTTGGGCAGACAAGGTGTGGCCAAGGGTGTCGTCTTTTTTGGGTGAGGGTGGCTCTTTTTTTGTTTTTTTGGCTGTGCTGGGACTTTGTTAGGGCACGAGGGATCTTTAGTTGCCGCATGTGGGATCTAGTTCCCAGACCAGGGATTGAACCCAGGCCCCCTGCATTGGGAACACGGAGTCTTAACCACCAGGCCACCAGGGAAGCCCCTGGTGTGGTCATTTCTGAGATCAGGGGCCTCTAAGAGCGTGGGAATCTAGAAGTGAATTTCCTGAGTCTACCGAGTGGGGGAGGAGTTGGTGAGAATTCCTGGGGGGGGCAAGGGTAGACTGTTCTGCAAAGTTTGGGCCTACTTGTGGGAGTTTGTGATTGTGTGTACTTGTGAGTGAGTGTGTGGCTACAGGAGTGACAATGCGTATGTGTATAATATGGGTGTGATGGTATGCATGTGTCAGAGTCCAGGTGTATGCATTCTGAGTGACAGTGGGTGGGTGTACATGTGAGTGTGAGTCTGAGTGTGTGCTTGGATGAATTACTGCATTGTGGTGGCAGTGCAGAATTTTACAAAATTTCATCCCCCCGCGACCGTTGGCTAAATGTTGCTAGCACACTGCTGTCTTTCCAACCAGGAACCTGTAATTACCTACGCTTCTCTCAGGCTCTCCACGCCTGGAGGTGGGACCTCCTCACAGAACAGCAATTATTTGGGGACTGCAACGGGTTAACCACAAAACTGGTGTGTGTTAGAAAGGGGGGAAGTCAGTGGAGAAAATTGCAAGAATCAGCATGGAAGAGGTTGGAGACTTCCCTGGAGATCCAGTGGTTAACACTCCAAGCTCCCACTGCAGGGGGTGCAGGATTGATCCCTGGTCAGGGAACTGAGATCTCACATGCTGCACAGAGTGGCAGGAAAAAAAAAAAGGAATAGAAAAGGTTGCTCCCACCAAGTCCTCTTCTTTTTTTAGGAAAGATGCTGCTTCAGGATTACCTGCTGAAGACGAAAGTGGGAAGAAGCAAGCTTGTAAAGATCTGTCATCATGGGCTCAGGCAGCAGTGGTGCAATCGGCCACCCCAGAAGAACAAGCCGCCCTGTGGCTGAGGGAGTAGGGGGGAACCTCACAACAAGCCCTCCTCTGAAACAGAGAGCCAACTCCCCATACTTGGGAAAAGCAATTGCAGTCTCTTGTCACCTGGTACCTTTAGCATCAGCACCACCGAATTTTACATACACGGAAGGATTTCTAAAAACACTCAGAGGTGGGCTCCCCTAGTGGTCCAGTGGCTAAGAATCTGGCTGCCAAGCAGGGAACACGGGTTTGATCCCTGGTCTCGGAGGATCCCACATGTCGCACAGTAACTAAGCCCAGATGCCATGACTACTGAGCCTGTGCTCTAGAGCCTACGAGCTGTAACTACTGAGCCCCCGAGCCACAACTGCTGAAGCCCGAGTGCCCTAGAGCCCGCGCTCTGCAACAAGAGAAGCCACTGCAACGAGAAGCCAGTGCCCTGAATTGAAGAGTAGCCCCCTGTTCCCCTCAACTAGAGAAAGCCTGCATGCAGCAAGAAAAAGCCCGCATGCAGTAACGAAGACCCCAGCACAGCTAAGTATATAAAAGAATTAAAAAGCAAAAAACTCAGGGGGTTGCAAGAACATACACAGATAAGTGTGCCCACACATGAGGCTGGGACCCCGGCATTTCTATTAATAAGAGTTTCAAAGTGGGACGAATGCCAACTGGTCCACTGGCGGAGCATTCTCATCAGGCTATGAATGAAACCGACAGCCCACACCCCCCACACACTCTGTCCCCCTCAGCAGTTACTTACTAGGTTGGCATTTAAAGGAGACCAGGAGGTATTTACTGCTTCCTGGACAAAGGTCAGGTCCAAAAACACGGCTATTGACCAGGAGGTGGCAGGCCCGCTGGTTCTGACACTCGTCCAGCACCTTCTAAAAGGAGGGGGTAGAAAAGGGACAGGCTTGAGAACCACACGCAGCGTCTGCGGGACCCCACACCTGGGCTGCTCTGGAGGGAGGGGTGCCTGCCTGCCTGGCCTGGGGCTCACACTTAAAGCCTTCACGCTGGTATCAGCTGAGTCTATGACGGACACACCCACACGGGACTGATCAGATTGGCTCTCTGTCTCCCCATCGCTCCTCACAAAAGAATATCTGCTCCAACAGTGCCAGGCCTCCCACAGAAAACCAGTCTCCAATTAGCCTTGCCTGGCACCACTACTGAAGTTCTAGCAAAAGAGTGACATTGCGGTGGCTCCTGGGGACATAAGCCATATCAAGGTAGCAGAGAGTGTGGACTGGAAGAAACACAGATGTCCACCCCTACCCACCACTGCTGTGTGAAACAATCACAGCTACACATCCTTAGAAACACCCAACATGGGTCACAGGAACGGTCAGCATTTGGAAGACTTCTGGGCTTCCTTGGTGGCTCAGATGGTAAAAGAATCCACCTGCAAGGCAGGACACCCGGTTCGATCCCGGGGTTGGGAAGATCCCCTGGGGAAGGAAATGGCTACCCACTCCAGTATTCTTGCCTGGAGAATCCCATGGACAGAGGAGTCTGGAGGGCCACAGTCCATGGGATCACAAAGAGACAGACACGACTGAGCAGCTAACACTTTCACTTGCAGTTTTTGGAAACCCCGACCCAAATGCAGGTCAACACATGAAAATTAAAAAGTTGGTCCTCACCCTCACCAACCTCAAGGACACAGGACCCACCCACTTCCAGGCCATATCCCACCCAGCGAACACTCTGGCTTGCTGTTGAGCCTCTGGCTTTAAACGCTTTCCTTCAAACCTCTCCTGACCTTTCCCAGGCCGATCACACCTTTGTGAGTGAGTCTGCTCTGGGCAAGCTCGGGGACCACCCACCACTGGGTCGCAGGTGGGCCCCATCCCACTGCTGCCCTCTTGGTTCCCACATGGGTCAGGACCCCCCACCCCCACCCCCCGCCCAGCATGAACACAGAGGTCCTCCACGCCAAGAACAGGAAAAACACTCCCAAGAATCTACTTATTCCTGTTGGGCTGAATTTAGTGCCGATTCACAAGCCTGTCTAGAGTCTCCATGTTCTCACGGTAGCCCATGGAATATCTCCGCGAAGGATGCTGGCCCTACTGGGTATTCTCCGTCACCTTAGGGGCCTCACAGTTGTGCATAAAATCCGGGAGAATGCCCAGGGAAACCCCCAAGGACCCCCAAGGATGGTGCACATTCCTTGGCTGAGGGAATCATCAGCCCTTGCATGTTACAGCCCTTGTGTTACAGCCACGGGACCCAAGGCAGCGCTCTTTCCGAAGTGTGTCAGAGCTGAGACACGCTGTAGCCATTTAGTCAAGGGATGAGGTGGGATGGGCAGATGTCAACCCGTTCCCTCCTACGTCGGGCAACCGCCCTCTGAGGAAGCCCCTTGCGTCAGCTCTCAAACACAGGTTATAAGACAGAGGAAAGAATCTCTTAACCTCTGGAGGAAAAAGAGCAGCGTGCAGGGACGCTTCTGGCAAACGAGCTCTCTGAACAACATCCGGACTGTGTTTACAAAGGCTGAGTCGTCCGCCTGGTTACGGGAACATCCTCTTCCCTCGGGGTTGCCTGGCAGAGGCAGGCGCCCTGATCGGAGGATGAGGTTGGTGCCCGCGTGTGCCAGGAGTTCACGCCTCCCCAAGTAGGCACTTCCGTCCTGGAGGCACTGGCCACCATTCTTCACAAGCCCAGGGGAGCGCCTGACACCAGGCAGGTGGGCTCGGGCTGAGGGGAGAGCCTGACACCAGGCAGGTGGGCTCGGGCTGAGGAAGGGGGATGTTCTCAGGGCATGGGGGCGGGCTGGAGGGAGGGTGGGGCACGCAAGGAAAGGAACTGCTCGTCTCCAGAAGAAGCATGTTGTCTCTCCTCAGGGCATGGAAACCAGGGGATTCATTCAAACACATTTATGTGGTTTCTCAGTGGGTGTCTTCACCAATCACGTGACCACCCAGATACTACAGCGCTTGGCATGAGGCAATAAATAGTCCAGGCAACAGAAAAACCCTTACATTATCACATTAGGCTTGCTTCTCCTCTTCCAGGCTCAGGGAGAGCTGCGCCATGTTGAAGCTGATTTCATTTCTCCTCAGTCCTCTTCGGAAATTTACCGTTACCCTCATTTCTCACAACAGACAAAAATCAAGCTGACATCGAATTCACTAGCTATTCTAACCGCCTTGATGTCAACGGATTCATAGGGAACTTCAGAGTCACTAAAAAAAAAAAAATCCAAACCCAAGTGACTCCATAACCTTGGCCAACTAGTTATAGATGTTGAGGGGCCAGGAAAGCAAGATGGAGGTTGTTTGGATAACTGAAAGCAAGAATAGTCGAAAGTCATCATGGATACTGGGGTTGGCCAAAAGAGTCCTTTCAGGTTTTCTGTACGCTGTTACAGAATAATTTGTTTTGACCTCCTCGTAGACCAAGTATTTCCCCAATGCCAATCAAAAAAAGAATGAGTCAGCTCCCTGCCTCCACTCCCAATTCCTGGTACTATCAAGAGTAAACCAGCAGAGACTGCTCAACATAGATCCAAACCAGAATAACATGATTATCTACAACTGGAGAAGCAACCCATAAAAAAATAACAAAGATAATTATTGATATTTCTCTTCCTTGAGTGCATTCTCTAAGAATCTGACCATGACCTCTGATGTCTGCCTTGTGGTTTCTACTGAAGCAGGCATGGCCTTCCCTCATCTCCTGGGGGTGGGGTGGGGGGTAGAGGGGCTGACAGAGATGTTAAGCCTCGAGGTTGAAACCCAGCATAATGGTATGACTTAGCTTTATTGCAGGGAGCAGTGTGCCTTTGAATAAATTCATTCTGCAAGTGTATTAAGGGAGGGCTCCAATAAGTAGGCATTCTATATAGATTCAGAAGCAAAGAATAGCTCACTTGCCAAATTCGTGATCTGTCTACACGGAGATTTTCAGGGATCAGGTTTGCTTGGAGTGAACTGTGGAATCACAAGTATATACACAGAGAGAGGGACAGACAGGCAGAGGCAGAGAAAGAGAAAACCATTTTGTCATCTTAGAACATCTTAGGAAAGGCAATACCTGCAGTGTGGTGGGCACCACACAGGTTAGGCTGTCTTCCCTCTGGGAGGCAGGCTGCTGCGGACTACACTTTTGGTAATCTTGCCCATAAAATGCCGACTGGACACTTATCGTGGAATGCCGAGGACACTGCAGATTCAAATGGTCCCCGTCACAGGCATAGGCGGTGTGGTTTTGCAGGAGTTTGGTTAGGTAACCTGGAAAATATTCAGCTGGGTTACAAGGGGTATAGGAGTTCACCACTCCTTCAAGGATTTCAGAGCGGGAGGACCTCGGCTCCCCTGGGGCGGGGGCTGGGCAGTGAGGAAGGTGTGGGCGGAGCTTCCTCCATTGTGGGCGGGGCTTTCTGTGCTATGGGCGGGGCTTACTCCCATGCTCCCCAGGACACAATATCACCAAAAAGGAGCCGGCTTTTCTGTCTGGGTTGGAGCCCTCGGTCTGGGCTGGCCCGTGGCAAGGCTCCGAGAGCGTGTTCCCTCCAGGAAGCACTGAAGGGCTGACCAGGAGGCAAGAAGTCCTGAAGCATCTCTATAACGTAGGAAGAAATGCGAGTGGGTGTCCCCGGGGCATGTAAATGCCTGTCCAAAGGGAGACTTGGCTTCTCTCTGATCTCCCACTAGCTGGGCCAGGCCTTCCTGGAGAGGGGGGATGCCCGTTTTATTTTAGGAAACCAGTCCTGGGCCAGCCTCTGTCCTGGAGAAGAAAGCAAGGCAGGCTTCCTGCCTAGGGTAAGGTACTTCTCTGAAGGGAGGGGAGAGGGGATGGTGTGACTCGGTTATGGGTCCAATAGTGTCTCCCCCCAAATTGACCTTCACCAGGAACCTCAGAATGTGACCTTGTTTGGACATAGGGTCACGGCAGATGTAATTAGTTAAGCTGAGATCAGGAGTGAGAAGGTCCCTGAATCCTATATGACTGGTGTCCTGATGAGAAGAGAAGAGACACAGGGCAGCAGTCATGTATAGACTACAGTGATGTCTTTGCAAGCCAAGAACCTCCAGGGTGGTCAGGAGATGGGAGCTGGAAGACAGTAGGAAAGATTCTTTTTTTTTTAGTTAAAAAAAAAAAATATATATATAATATATATTTATATATTATATATATATATGTTTGTGTGTGTGTATATATATATGTGTGTGTGTGTGTATGTGTATATATATAATATATATTTATATATAATATATATATGTTTGTGTGTGTGTATATATATATATATGTGTGTGTGTGTATATGTGTATATATATATATATATATATATATATATAGTTGTGTTTTTTTTTTGGCTGTGCTGACAGTCTGTGGGATCTTAGTTTCCTGACCAGGGATCAAACCTGTGTCACCTGCAATGGAAGCTCAGAGTCTTAACTCCCGGACCACCAGGGAAGTCCCAGAAAAGATTCTTCCTGAGAAACTCTGAAGACAGCACGACCCTGCTGACACCTGATCTAGACTTCTAGAACTATGAGGGAATGTATTTCTACTGTCTTCAGTCATCCGAGTTCAGTCATTGGTTACAGCAGCCCCAGGAGACTTATACCAGCTCCCTGTGACCACACCTGCAGCGAGGCTGGTTATACCAGCTCCCTGTCACCACACCTGCAGCGAGGCTGGCTGAGTCGAGAAGGCCTTGAGCTCGGAGGAGCTGTGGACGGCCTGGCAGGCACTAGCGGCCTGGATGTTTTCTCAGAAAGGAGGAAGGAAGGCTCATCTGAGATGCAGATTCCTTTCCTCCTTCTCACACCTCATGAGGTCAATCGCGAGGCGGCTGGGAGGGAAGCCAGGGACTTTCTGGGGAGGTGTGTGGGAGACGCTTTGGCAGCGTCGGCCTTCGAGGGGAGGAGGGGTGTGGAGGAAGGCGGCCTCCAGGCGCCCCAGTCCCCACAGGGACGGGCCGTGCTCAAGCTGCTCCTGCTTGGGTTTCAAAATCCTCTCTGAACCGTCATGCTTGACAAAAGGTGCCCAGTCCAGGTCCCTGAGCTCCCCTGACGGTTGCAGAGAAGGGACTGAGGTGCTCTGCCTAGATAGGGCCCACCTGCCAAAGCACACCTGCCCACTGAAAGCGAGGACCGGGCGCCCTCCCCGGCGCTCTGCACTCAGCCCTTAGGTGTCCGGCTGTAATTCCTTTTTTCCTTCCCACCCACAACCACCATCATAAGATCGGCCAAGAAATCAGCCACCCCGAGAAGCAAAGTCTAGCTTTGAGCAGCAAAACTGCCGTTAAGCAGCAGGCCTGTGAGTCAGGGCTTCCCAGGTGACAATAGTGGTGAAGAACCCACTTGCCAATGCAGTAGATGTAAGAAACGTGGGTTTGACCCCTGGGTCGGGAAGATTCCCTGGAGGAGGGCAGGGCAACCCACTCCAGTATCTTTGTCTGGAGAATCCCGTGGACAGAGGAGCCTGGTGGGCTGCGGTCCATAGGATCGCAAAGAGTTGGACACAACTGAAGTGATTCAGCATGCACGCATGCATTGTGAGCCAGGACCCTGCTTGTTGGAATGTTGTTGCTTATAAGGTGAACCCCTCGGGGCACTGAGAGGAACCAGGCAGAGACCCCTTGGTGGTCCTGGGGCCCCAGGTCAGTGTCATCCTGTAGGATGCACAGGTGGGCCCTGATGAAGCCATGATTTATGCAAGATTCTTTGTGAGGTCTTAGGATCCAGGGAACTCAGGGTGGTTCTGAGGCTGCCCCCAGGCCAGTACCCACCCTGAAGCTTCCCAGGCTGGTACTATCAACCTTGGGTCTCTTCGACTTTGTCAATAAAATGTTCTTGTCAATCATACCCCATCCTTCATGGGGATGCTCAGCTGGCTGAAATCTTAAATCAGTTCTGGGAGCATGACCTCAGCTTAGTGTTTATGATCTGTCTGAAAGGCCATGTGTTACTCTGGTTAAATGAAGGTGATGTTAAGGCCCTGGGGCAGATTGAGCCACAAGACCAAAGGGGCCTGATTCCCAGATTGATGAAGTGAGTTGCTGCTTGCTGCACAGACTGTCATGTGAGTGAGAAAGAAAACTTCTGCTGTGTTCGGACTATCACCTTTCATCACCCAATTTGTCATGTGTTAATAGTTTGTCTTCAGGAAACAAACTTGATCTCCGTGGGACTGTTTGCATCAGAATACAGCCGGATGCAGAGCAGTGGCCAAAGCCTCCCTGCTACCATCTTCATATCCTGAGAGTAATGTTCTGGAGACATAAGCTCGATGCACATAATTGATTAGCGGGAGGTTTTTCCGGCCCTCTTGCACTTTGAGGAGAGAGGGGAGCCTCCTTCCCGATACATCAGTTCTGACACTCTACAAGTTCAGCAGTAAAACTTGCTCTAGACTCGGTCCAATTCCTTCTTTGGAAACCTAGGCCTAAGTCCAGCAATGGAATATTATTCAGTCCTTGGACTGCAAGGAGATCAAACCAGTCAATCCTAAAGGAAAGCATCCCTCAATATTCATTGGAAGGACTGACACTGAAGCTGAAGCTGCAATACTTTGGCCACCTGATGTGAAGACTGACTCATTGGAAAAGACCCTGATGCTGGAAAAGATTGAGGGCAGGAGGAGAAGAGAGCGGCAGACAATGAGATGGTTGGATGGCATTGCTGATTCAACGCACATGAGCTTGAGCAAACTCTGGGAGATAGTGGAGGACAGAGGAGTTTGGCGTGCGGCAGTCTACGGGGTCACAAAGAATCAGACATGACTTAGTGACTGAACAACAACAACAAAAAGTGAAATGAGCTATGAAGCCACAAAAGACATGGAGGAAGTAAGACGTATGTGATTAGGTGAAAGAAGCCAATTTGAAAAGGCTCCATACTGCATGATTCCAACTATATGTCATTCAGGAAAAGGTGAAACTATGGAGACAGTGAAAATATAAGTGGTTGCCAGAGGTTTGTGGGGGAGAGAGGGATGAATAGGTGGAGCACAGAGGAACGGTAGGGCGATGAAACCATCAAAGGAGGCCCAGCATCAAGAGAGACCCTTAGTATGGACTACGGACTCTGGGTGGCAATCTGGTGTCACAGCAGGTTCCCTGGTTGTGACAAGTTCACCGCTGGTGTGGGGTGTGTGGGATAGTGGGGGAAGCTGTGGGTGAAATTCCTAAGCTTTCTGCTCAATTTCACTGTGAACCTAAACCTTCTCAGAAAGAAAGTCTATTTAAAAGGGGAAAAATGTGGACTTCCCTGGTGGTCCACTGGTTAAGACTCTGCCCTTCCAATGCAGGGGGAACGGGTTTGAGCCCTGGTCAGGGAAGTGAGACCCCACATGCCATTTGGTGTGGTCAAAAGAATTTTTAAAACTTTTAAATAAGATAATATGAAACATTTGTATGCAGTTTAAAAAAAAAAAAGGAAAAAGTTTAAAAACCACCCATGTATCCCCAGGATAGCATGACCTTAGGGAAGAGAGGGTTAGGTGCCAGGGAGGGGATATAAGGGGGAGCGTATGTGAACTGGCAAAGCTCTTTCTTTACGTGAAGGGTGGCTAGGCATTTCACTGTGTTCTAAGTTCACCTGGCTATGCACTTAGGATCTGTGCAAGTTTTAGTTGGTAGATAAATGTTTGTTTAAAAAACCTTTACCTGCAGCTTCATGACCAATGCTTTATACTAATAAAGAAAGTCTAAGAAAAGCCCTTAAAACTATCCTATGTCTCTATCTCTAACTCTGCTTGTTGTTGTTTAGCCGCTAAGTCGTGTCCCACTCTTTGTGACCCCATGGACTGCAGCCTGCCAGGTTCCTCTGTCCATGGAATTTTCCAGGCAAGAATACTGGAGTGGGTTGCCATTTCCTTCTCCAGGGGATCTTCCTGCCCCAGGGACTGAGCCCACATCTCCTGCATTGTCAGGCAGACTCTTTACCACTGAGCCACCTGGGAAACCCAACTCTATGCTTACCATGATGCAAACCTGTAGTCTGTAATTTGAGACTCTGCATGTTATTATCCACCTGAAAGGAGAACCCTGAGCTGATGGTCTAACAGTTCTTGTGTCAGAGATTCCCTTACGAAAATTAATAAATGGAAATCTAGGAAACGCTCGTGAGGACCGGCCATCTGCCTAGCCACCTCATGGGCCCCAGAGGTGCTTTCTGTGCCCCATTCTGATTGGCTGTGTCAGAAGCTGCTAAGAGATCAAAAGAAGGACAGTTAGAACTACCACTGCTTTCAGCAACATAAGGGTCATCAAGGATCACTT